ATGTGCTCTTGTGGCCCAGAAAGCCAACCGCGTCCTGGGCTGCATCAAGAGGAGCGTGGCCAGCAGGTCGAGAGAGGTGATTCTCCCCCTCTACTCTGCCCTCGTGAGACCTCACCTGGAGTATTGCGTCCAGTTCTGGAGTCCCCAACATAAGAAGGACATGGACCAGTTGGAGAGGGTCCAGAGGAGGGCCACGAAGATGATAAGAGGGCTGGAGCACCTTTCCTATGAGGACAGGCTGAAAGAGTTGGGGCTGTTCAGCCTGGAGAAGAGGAGGCTCCGGGGTGACCTTATAGCGGTCTTCCAGTACCTCAAGGGGGCCTACAAGAAAGATGGGGAGAGGCTGTTCAGGAGGGCCAGTTGTGATAGGACAAGGGGTAATGGTTTTAAAATAGAGGGAGGTAGATTCAGGTTGGATATTAGGAAAAAATTTTTTACCATGAGAGTTGTAGAACACTGGCACAGGTTGCCCAGAGAGGTGGTGGATGCTCCATCCCTGGAGACGTTCAAGGCCAGGTTGGATGAGGCCCTGAGCAACCTGATGTAGTTGGAGATATCCCTGTTCCTTGCAGGGGGGTTGGACTAGATGACCTTTGAAGGTCCCTTCCAGCCCTAACCATTCTATGATTCTATGATTCATGGTCTGTAACTGATGAAAAACTTCAAACTGTAGCTCAGCAAGATGTTAAACTGCAGGTATTAAAATTAGGGTTATTATTATTATCTTTTAATCAGTGGGTGTAGAGAATTTGCATCTGGGACTTCTAAAAGAGCTGACCAGAGAGGTACCTAAGCTGTCAGTTTTTCACTTAGTTAAGGAAACAGGGATTTTCCAGAAGATTGTAAATAAAACCGATCCTCTGTAGCAAGCTGTTGGAGCGGCCAAATTGTACTTCATATAAAGTCTGTGTTCATCATCTTGGGGTGTTTCATTTCAACACATCGCTAAAGTGGTGATTGTTGTCAGATTTTGAAGTGAGCCAGTCCTGACTCTTTTTTGCGTAGATTCAGGACCTGATCCTCATTAGTATGAGTCAAGATAATGCTGGGGCTGTCAGTGGAGCTACACAAATTTGCTTTACCTTAGAATTAGCTCCTCTGGGTCCATGACTGTGAGTGAAAAGATGATTCAGTGTTTAGAAGTCACCGACTCATCTTGGTATGACCTGTCTCAGGGAGGATGTGATAAAGAGGAGGAAGGGGGGCCTGCTCACTCCTGTAGTCCAACTGCAGGGTGAACTCTTAGCACAGAAGTGCAAAGAAAAGGTGCACCAGTGTGTGCCATGGTGACAAACTCCTGGACTCAGGTACCAGCAGTGTTCAGAAAACTTCACTGGGAGAGCGATTTAGAGCCGTGTTACTCACACTGTGAGGCAGACCTGGCAAGAAAGCTTCTCTGAGCAACCCCCTCTCTTGCTGGGGATTGTGCTGGGATGCGATGCAACAGAGAAGGGTTCTTAACTCACTGGTGTGAGGCTAGAAACATCAAAACAGTTTTTGCACTGCATCTGAGCTAGCCATCATTCTAACGCTGACATCAGGTCCTTGATGAAGCCACTTAAGTCTTTCATCTTAGTGAAAGGGGAATAGTTGTAAGTGCTCGACGAAAATACTGTAAAGATTAGTTAGATAAAACTGGTGACTGGACATTCAAATGCCCACCTCTCTGGTGTAGCTATACTTCTTCTTTCACACATGTAGCTCTAAAAATTTTGCATTGGTGGTGAGTATAAAGATGGGAGGTCAAGGTAAATGAAGGCACTTGCCTTGAGCCACCCAGCCAGCACATCTAGTAGCAAATCCAAAAGCACAAACCACGTTTAAAGCTATGCAGTAACCCGTTTTCGTGTTCTTTTCTATTTTGGGAGCTACTAGCCAGCTGCCAGCAGTCGCCTTCATTGATATGATGTGGTTAGAGAAGCAGCTACCTGGATGACCTGGATACCATTCCTCCCAAGGGCTGCAGAAGACTCATTGTCGTGCGTGAGATAACGGAGACGTGTATCATGTGTATCATATATCCCTGAGGGAAAGCAGCCAGGATTCCACTGCTAAGTATAGGCCAGGGGAGTGAGCCAGGCTTTGCACAGTTGCTCTGTGGTCGTGCTGAATCTGAAGACAGTTCCTTTTGTGCTGAGTTAACTTATAATGTAATGCTTTGCTCGAGGCTGGTGGAGGGGGAAGGCAAAGGGGGAAACCAGTCTTGGTACTTTGCATAGATTTGGCTCAAAATCAGCTTGTTAGCAGTGGTCATAAGGACAAATAGGAAGGGAGAGGTGGAGGTCTGGTTAGGGAAGGAGGTGGGGAGTTGGAGCCTCTCGCTGTGAGCCTCCTGGAAAAGTAGATGACATGCTGTTCACTGTGTCTCAGAATGGGAGTGGCGAACCTGCTGGTCTCACTGGGATTTATTTGGACACTGACAAGGCGCAACACGCAGCCAAATAAGAAATAATGCAAGAATAAAGCTATAAATAAATAAAGCAAGAGTAAATAAAGCAAGAGATAAGCTTATCCCACACCTGACATTACCCATCATCGGTCACAAGGAGCGATGACGTTTTGCACAGTTAAATTTTGTGAGACGGACAGGGGCAGAGTGTATGGCTGGTCTTTCTGCATGTCTCTGCCGGTAGATCAAATTCATCTTCCTTTTGGATGAAAGATTCCTTCCGTCTTGCCAGTGATGGTGCTTTAAATTTTCCCTTATTTCTGGTGAGTAGTCAGTTGAATCTGCTGTGATGACATGAAAGCAAATACGCCGTGCTTTGTTCCGCTGCCGGTGAGACTATGGAAAAGGGGCTGAGCAGTAAGCGGATACAGTGAGATACATGGTTTACTTTTTTTACCCTTAGAGTTCAGTGTCTTAAACTGTCAGCCCGTTGAAGGGGTCACAGACTGCTAAGTCTAACTGCAGAACTCCTTCCCTTTGTTTTATTTTTGCAGACAATTTACTTGGATGATGATGTCTCTTCCTTTGTGCAGCTCAGAGGTTCTGTTCCGCTGTTTTGGGAGCAACCGGGGCTTCAGGTAAACAAATAATCCAAAGCCTACCTTACTTATGTCTCTTGCTACTTATAATTTAGAAGTTACATAAAATTTAATTGTTTTTTTTTTTAAATGAGCTGCGAAGCTTATTCCATGGAAGTGCTGAGCTCTTTCATTTTAGGCTTACCTTGTAGGAAATTTTGCACATTTAGGTAAACAGAGCTAAACCAGACAAATGGCTAGAGTTAACTGAAGTTTAACGTTTTCATGTGTTCGTGTACCTCTACAGGGAACTATTTGTAAGGGACTGTGTCCTAATGTCCTAAGCTGAAACTTACAGCAATATCTTTTTAACATTTTGAATTTGATTTGGAATAACCTTTCAATTTTATTTGGAATAACCTTTCCTTCTGAAATGCCTGGTTGACTTGATGGTACTGACTTCCACAATAACATTGGAGTAATTGTGGATATCGGAAGCTCTATAGGAGCATGTTACCTTGAAACAAAATACAACGTCTGGATGGTGTGTTTGCTAAAGTTTGGTCAAAAAGGCGATGATGACCTAATCTAATCTGCGAGGCAGAGATGTAGGGTTTCATCATTATTGCATCAAGCCTAGTGGGTTACATATGGTCTGTGACTTGCAGCTTATATACAGTTACAAGCTCAAGTAAGAATCATCCTAGCACTGTTTGCATTCTCTTAGCAGAGGGATAAGCCACTGAAATTAGTATGCACGTATGTGCACATATGTCAATAGAGAGAATAAAAAATATAAGCGGGAGCAGGTCCAGAGGAGGCCACGAAGATGATCCAAGGGCTGGAGCACCTCTGCTATGGAGCCAGGCTGAGAGAGTTGGGGCTGTTCAGCCTGGAGAAGAGAAGGCTCCGGGGGGATCTTATTGCAGCCTTCCAGTACCTAAAGGGGCTACAGGAAAGCTGGAGAGGGGCTTTTTGCAAGGGCGTGTAGTGACAGGACACGGGGTAATGGATTTAAACTGAAAGAGGGCAGATTTAGATTGGATAGAAGGAAGAAATTTTTCACTGTGAGGGTGGTGAGGCACTGGCACAGGTTGCCCAGAGAAGTTGTGGATGCCCCATCCCTGGCAGTGTTCAAGGCCAGGTTGGATGAGGCTTTGGGCAACCTGGTGTAGTGGAGGGTGTCTCTGCCCATGGCAGGGGGGTTGGAACTGGATGATCTTTGAGGTCCTTTCCAACCCAAACTGTTCTATGATTCTATGATAACTGTTTTTTTATAGAATCATAGATAGATATGAATGTGATGATATAAATGTCATATGATATGACATTTTATAGAATCATTTAGATACTTAAAGGGTTGTTTGATACTTTAAAATCGTTAAATCTAGCACCTAGGTACCATTCAGAACAACTAGATTTAGCGCAAAAGGAAGGTGACTAAAGGATCTGTGCCCTCTGTTAGCTCCATCCGGTGCAATACTTGTTATTACAAAGCAGTTCTGCCTGTATGGTTGTGCACACATCCTGCCCGTGGTGTAACTGTGTCCAGCACTGTGCATCATGAAGTCACAGAGCTTTTCCCCAAGTAGTTTTGGCTAGTGGGTAGTGTCTTTTCAGAGAATTTTCAGCTTTTTGGTAGGGACACAGTCTGCTTCTTTGCTTAATCTGAGTTAGATTATGCGGCTTTCACTTCTGTTGGTGAATGTTCATGAGTCTTATTCCTTGGATGTGAGTGTGCTGACACTGATGTTGGAAAGAATTGCATAAACCAACGTCATGAAGAACAAAGGAAGATGATGAAGTACAGGAAACAATGCGTGATCCTATAAATAATTAGCAGTGCATTTTCTGGAGAGGAAGGAAGCCCTCTGCATACTGTAATAACAGTAAAAGTCCTATTAGATTGATGGCACAGGATTTCATCCTTCATATTTTCAAAGGACTGATCTGATGCTTTTTAGTCTCTGTCAATAATGAAAGATAAAAGAACTCAGGACACAAAACCCCTGGAACGGGCATAACCGCAGCCTTTTCTGCCAAGAGAAGGGCAGGAAGAATGCTGGGCACCCCGCATATTCATGTGAGGCAGTGTGGGATATTTGCTAGAGGAAAACAGAGAAGGAATATGATTTGTTTGGCCATAGAAAGATGTGTAGATATCCCTTTGCTTAACGATAATCCTGTTTTCACTCATAATTGTAAATGTTGCTGTCTAATAAAAGCTGTGGCTTTTGTATTAGGGATGTTATGTGTGTGGGTGTGTGCAGTCTGTTAGAGGTGTCTGGTGCTGTTAAAGAGATGTTTTCCTCTGAAGGCAAAAGGGAGACATCTAGTGATTTAGGACTCTAGCTATTTAAGAAGTTACTTTTCTCTTTCTTCTCTTCCCAATATTTTAATTTAGGTGGGTTCTCATCATCTAAGGCTTAACAGAGGTCTGGAAGCTAATGCTCCTGCCTTTGACAGGTAAGCATCGTTCCACCTCAGCAATAAAACAGCGGCCTGGCGTTTAACCGAAATTCCACAACTCTGCCTGTCTAGGAAATCCCGAGGGATGTTTCACATACAATTAATTGTATTTGGTTTACTTTAATCACTTATTTTTGTGCGTTTTCCTTTCTGTTTTCAATGGTAGTTGAATTAATTTGGTCTCCTGGCTTGTTCTAAAAGTTAAGAAGCACTGAGTGGTATACAAAAGGAAGGTCTGCGTAACCCTTTGTGAGCCGACAAATGTGAATTCACACTTGAGGTACACAGAACGTGTGCTTCACCACTGTAACCCAGTTAATTAAAAAGTAAACACTGCTTCCTCTCCAATCTGGATTTGTTTTTCTCCTCATTGTTTTACTGCCATACAGAAATAGAAGTGTCTTACTCTCTGATCAGTGTTGTATGATGCTGTTATGCTGATGCTTTTCTACTTTACCCAGAGACTGGCTCGTAACCTTTTTAAACCATTAATACTCTGCTTGTCAGCTGGAAACTGTAAAAAAAACCCACATATTAGCTTGTTTCCTTTGAATGTGTAACTACAAAGTACTATCCTTTAAGGGCAAACTCCCATGGACATCAGTGGGAACATTGCCTAAACAGGACATGAAGGATTTGGCCTGCAGAAAATTTTCAACTTATAAATGCCAGGTCACGTGATTAATTTCTGTTTTGAGTTGGTTTTGGCAAATCAGAGTTTATGTTGATTTTAAGTAAGGCCTCTTTATTTAATTGAGTTAATTTACTGCAACTGTGAGCAGACGTGATGTTGGTGACTGATAATAGTTTTGCAGCGCTGAGGACCCCAAACAGGCATTAGAATCTAAAGAGACTATGCACCATAGAAGTCCTGAAGGGACTTAGCCTATATTCCCCAAGCTTTTTAAGGCTCTTAAATCCTACTGAATTCAAATGCCTTTGAGACTTATGGTCCTGTGGTCAGTTGGTGGTAACTCGCCGTGCCAGTGTCCCTGAAGCTCCATCTTAGAGTTTTGCATTCCACAGCAGAGAGAATTTATATTAGAAGAAAACAATAACTTACTGAGCATCCTCTTGTGCTGCCCAAGAAACCAAGAGTACCTTAGCAAGAAACAACTTCATAACACCATTTAGCTCAGAGAATCTTTTCTCTCTGACCCTGATGCAACTGGCAAATAGCTTTCTTGTAAGTAACATGAAGATGAGGATCAACTTGCCCTATTCCTTCTTTCTCTTGTACACAGTAAAGCCTTTAGGTTAGATGAAGCTAGGGATCTCTCTGCTTACAGATCTGCAAAAGACAGTCCTTTGAAAATGGGCAAGGAATAAGCAACTGCTTCTATGGAAAAAGATACTGAACCTTGGCAGCCTTCTCCAGCTGTTCTGAGAGCGTTAGAGTGGATTTAGCCGGTTACATTTTCCCATCTGATAAGTTCATGTGTTGAGAAGGCACTGTGAGAAGCAAACAGTAATCTTATTAGTGGATTTTTTTTGTCCCCTCTCCCTGAGGAATCCTTGGGACCTCTGCTTACAATACTCAAGGAGGTGATCTAAGCCTCAGTAGTTTTGTTGGAAGGAGGCAACATTGGTGGAGAAGTCAGATCTTGATGCTGAGATCAGAGAAGTGCAAATGTATGGGGAAAGTAGGTGTGCAGAGAACTAGTTGCAGAATCAGGAGCATAAATAGCACCAGAAAATATATTTAGCCATATTTCTTGAAGGCCATGTTGGTAACTTTTTCTCTCTTTTCTCCCCTTCCATGATTTTCTGGGTGGCTTGTTTCTGGTTGTAGGATTTAAAGGTGCGTGCCAGGAGATGTGTGCTTGCTGTTTTTCAGACACTTCACTATTGTGTGTGGCTTTGCAGCATGTAATAGCTTTTCATTTGTGTGTTTGTTCTATTTTTCTTGTTTGTTTCTATCCAGCTTCCTCTTAAGTACTACTACAGTATTTTTGGGTGTGGTTGAAGATGGCTTTAAGATCTAATTGTTTCTTGAGGAGCCAACACAGCTCCTGTAGCACATGCATGCCAACTTGAAAACAATTTGAGGGGAGAATGGGTGCCTCTGCATCTGGCTAAAAGCTCTTGAAAAACAATTTGAGGGGAGAATGGGTGCCTCTGCATCTGGCTAAAAGCTCTTGACTTCAGGGTCCCTAAAAGTCAGGCATTGAGAGATTGGGGATATATGCCAAAAAAAACCCCAACACTTTATACTTGTCCTATTTTGTGTTTTTCCTGAAGAATCTGGACTAGACCACTTGCTGAAAGGTCCTTTGGTCTGATCCAGTGCTGCAGTTCTTACTATTACTAACCTTCCTGCTCAATTTAATGAAGTTGAGAGGGAATGTCTCGATGTTGCAGTAGGTCAGAAGCGTTTGGACCATCACCTGTGACGTGTGGTTGTGTGTCTCTGGCCTTGGCGTTGGAGTCTTAGGCCCCATCGCTGCTGCTGGCTCTTTATAGGCTAATCCCTGCAAGGTGCTAGGCAATTCCTGTTGAAATGTAGTATGTTTTCATCTCTTGTTGTCTTTCCTGTGTAGTTCCCAGGCCGACAGCCAAGAGGTGGGAGCATAACAAGGGCAGCATCAAAGCCAACAGTGACATAAAAGATCTGGGGCTTGTTTCCAATGATGCTTCTTTCTTTAAGTTCAGTAAAAAATACTGTGTCCATTAATTGCATACTTTCACCATTTGTACTTTAATAACTGATGGCAAGGAAACCGAGGAAGATGTCTGTAGCTGCTGTGGCTGAAACTTTCTACTGGATGGAACAACCAGTGATCTCTACTTCTGTATTTTGAAAAAGGTAGCAGGCAAGATAACGTGATTGTGTTTAGTAACTGTTATGGTTACTTTTGCTGTAGGCATATGATGCTTCTGAAAGAGCAATATGGAAAACAAGTGATCGTTAACCTGCTGGGAAGCAGAGGAGGGGAGGAGGTGCTCAACAGAGCTTTTAAGGTAAAACCAATTTATTTTTATTATTTTTTTTTAGCCTGCTGGTTTCCCCTGGCCCTCCATGTTCTTCTGTTTCCCTTCTGGCCCAGTAGATGATGAATAGTGTATCTAAAGGAATGATGTTATCTCTTTACTCGTTGTTGCATACTGAGAGGATGGTGCTTCATAGTCTCATGGCAGTTTCCAGCACTACCTTCCTGCTTATTTCTTCACGCATTTATGCACATTCTCTTTAACCAGACTTTAAAAAAAATTTGCTCTGATTCTCCTAAGAGTAGTTCATGTTTGCTAGAGCGAAGCATGATTAGCTTTGTCGTAGTATGTAGTCACTTACACAGCCAGGTGCCTCATGGAATTGCCAGAACTGCTCGGGTGCCAGGCCCTGAGCCTGGTTCACCGAGCGTAAGCAAGCTGTCTTGCTCTGGTTGTAGTGGGGAATAGCTATCTTGCACTGGTTGTGATGGGAATTGGCTGCCTGAGCACAAGATGACAGTCTAGTGTGTGAAGAGAGAGGTTTTCATGGCCTCTGAACGTCCCTGGGCACAACTAGAGTTGTAGAACTAGAGTTGAGAGTTGTAGAACACTGGAACAGGTTGCCCAGAGAGGTGGTGGATGCTCCATCCCTGGAGATGTTCAAGGCCCGGTTGGACGAGGCCCTGAGCAACCTGATCTAGTTGGAGATATCCCTGTTCCTTGCAGGGTGGTTGGACTAGATGACCTTTGAAGGTCCCTTCCAGCCCTAACCGTTCTATGATTCTATGATTCTATGAACTAATACCTGAGAGCATCTGGGTTGTGCCTGTAGTAAGTGTTACGTATTTGTCGCTGGTAAAGAACGATACAACAGTTCTGGGTTCAAATGTTTGCTGGGTGAAACTAAGGAAAATGAAAACTGTAGGTAAATAATAGTTCCTGATTTTTTTTTTTTCCCCCCTCTCTGTTGGAACAATATTCTCAAGACAAGGAGTGTCGTGAATTTTTGGGCAGTTTTTTTCTGTGGCCACTTCCTCTTCCTCCTAAAGAGCCGGGGAGAACTATCAGCTTCCCCAGGGGAAAGTGAAAAAGTGAAAGTCTCCCCCTGTACAGAATATGTCCAAAGCAAGTGACGATGACTAAAGCTTGCAAAGCAGTGAGGAAGGTGCAGAAATGAAGTCTGGTCCTAACTTCTGTTTTCAGCTTCTTACTAATTTTCTGCATGACACAAGTAAGCATCTATAATATCTTGATTTCCATATCTTTAAAATAGTTTTTATAGTTCATTTTGCAAAACCATTGAAATTTAGGGATAAGAGATGATCACTTGCAAAATGCTCAGAAAACTTTTGAGGGTACAAATCTGACTTTTCTTGTTAATTTAATACTGGTATTTTTTCAGACATTCTTGCAGACAGTGTTCTGGCCAGTATGATACAAAGAGAGATCTAAGTCAGAAACAGGGCATCTCTAGAATAAAGACCTTGCATTCATTATTTTATTTTAGATAAAGATCTGTTCTAATTGTTAAACTTTATTGCTGTTTAAAAATAACTAAATTATGAAAGCACTCTGTGAACTGAAAGGCTGCAGACTGACAGCACTGGAAACTGAAGTTTTGTACCATTCAAAACAACCACTTCTTGGTCTTTTCTTTATCTTTGTGTTTTAATAATGGAGGTTTGGAAAGAATATATAGTTAATTTTTACTTTGAGGATTTTAAGGGGCTTGAATTAAAAATGAAGTAATTCATAGGGGAGTCATAGAATCATAGAATCACGGAATGGTTTGAGTTGGAAGGGACCTTAAAGATGATCTAGTTCCAACCCCCCTGCCATGGGCAGGGACACCCTCCACTACACCAGGTTGCCCAAAGCCTCATCCAACCTGGCCTTGATTATGAATAGTTATGAAATTTTTTCTCCTTTTCTGTCATTAGTTTATTTCTTCGTTTCTCCATCTTACTTTGCTTGTATTCCTTCCTCTTCTCCCAACTCGTGCTGTAATCTTAGTAACGCTTCTCAGAGTTGGTTCAAAATATTCTCGTAATTACTGCTGCTGAACATCACTGCTGCCATTCGTTTATGCAGAAGGAACAAATGAGAAATCGTAAATGACCGACTGACCCTCAGCTGTTACCTGAGTCAGCTGTTACCAGAGCACAAAATCAGTACTACTCCCAGCAATGCTGTTCCTATATATATGCGTCCTCTATAATGGATGTAGTAATATTTACGGTAAAAGCAGTTCTGTAGAGTAGAGCTACGAATACTCTGACAATGATTTACACCGAGGCAGTGGGTAAATGTCATCCTCAAGTGCATCCCTAGTGCCAGTAGCCGTGAAGGCAAGTTGAGGTGTCAACAACAGAGAAGCGGATGCCAAGTGTTTTGGCTTTTCTAACAGTGTAATGAAACCTCTTCTGCATGTATCTCTCCAAACACCATGCAACACCTTTACATTTGTTTCTGCAGGGAAGGCTTACTGGCTTGCTAGATACAATTATACTGGTGTAACTGCTGCACATACACTTTTAATGTAATGTCAGAATTGTGTTGCTTGGCTTGTGTCACAATGTAAGTGGAGAAAAGCATCCGTCTCTGGGGATGTGCAGGAGGGAAAGGAATAGGCAAAGGCTTGTGTAATTGGAGTTAATGTAACAGTTCTCTGTGACTTTGTCATGGAGAGCAGGATGTAGTGTTGTCGTATCTATTACAGATACCCTAAAGAAATTTGTGGTGATTACGGAAATGCATGTGAGGTCATGGATATTGGAGATGAGATAATGAGGCTATTTCTGCGTCCTTCACTTTTGTGGTTTACCACAAACATTTTATAGTGTGTTTCCTGGCACATAATTTCATAGAATCATAGAATCATGGAATGGTTTGGGTTGGAAGGGACCTCAAAGATCATCTAGTTCCAACCCCCCTGCCATGGGCAGGGAAATTTCTTTCTTACTTCTTCTCCAAGCAACCTCTACTGGAATTTAGGGCCACATTTTCCCATATCTTGACACTTGAGGAATGATTAATAAATACACCCTTGCACTGTTACGCCCTTTCACCTCAAGCTGCTCTGGACACCTTTCCCATCAGAGTCCTGGTCCTGGTCCTACCCAGAGCATCACTGCTGCCATACACCCTCGCTCACAGCGGCAGCAGCCTGGCGGCCCTGCCACTGGCCAAGGTGCAGCAGCAGCAGTTCTGAGGTGTGCTTTGCAGTTACAGTTTGAGTTCCCCTGCAGAAAAACTGAGGACCAACAATCCAGTTTACTTTTGGAAAGAAAACTAGTAGTGAAATTCAGTTGCTTTTTTTCACGTCTGGCCTCTCGAAGTTCCTCATGAACTTGTCAATGTTAAAAATGCGACGAAGTTTAGTAATGATAAAAGCAAACTCGTATCGATCCTTACACTGTGGCTTGACCAGGATTTGTTTTCCTTCATTCTCTATCTAAACAGAAACTACTATGGGCCTCTGCCCATGCCGCAGACACTCCCATGATAAACTTTGACTACCACCAATTTGCAAAAGGTGGGAAAACTGAGAAACTGGAAAATTTGCTGAGGCCTCAGCTGAAGTTGCACTGGGAAGACTTCGGAATCTTCACAAAGGGCAAGAATGTAAGTCCATGGTGAGTGTCCTTGACCCTCTGTCCCAGCATAGCCAGGCACCACCTGTCCTGCCCTTCCTAGGTTTCTTGCTGCGTTTGGACCATAAGCATAAATTACTGTCTTGAAATAACAGTTTTGAAAGAAAGTGTAGTCTTGGTGATAAGTAGGTTATGTGACTTAACTGCATCTTCATTGTTTGGAACCTGGAAAATTACCAGTGCACGATTTGCTAATAGAGTGTTGCAGATGTAGTCAAGTAATTAAACGTATTAATGGAATACATTGTGCACAGCGTGCTTGCGCTGTCAGAATGTGGGTGGGTATATTCAGGCTGAACGTTTTATGATCTTGTTCAATCAACTCATGACTAGATCTTATTTTAAAATATACCTTTTTTCCTTCCCTCCCCTTGTGTTTGGTTACCAAAGTCTGCAGACAGGTACTTTTCGAATGAATTGTTTGGACTGCCTGGGTCGTACTAATAGTGTCCAGTCCTTCGTTGCACTGGAGGTGAGTTTGTCAGAGGACCTTTCATGGATACCTGTGCTGCATCCGTTGTTTCTTCCATGGGAAAGACAGGAAAGAGAGCATAAGCCTCAGTGATACAAGTCTGTCTTGCCAGCTCTGTGATACAAAACGGTGCTGGCTGGAATACTTAAACAGAGGGTAAAAAGCAAAAACACATTTAACAACATTGTTGTTTTTTCTCCTTCTGCACCTAATCCAGATCCTGCTTGCTCAATTAGAGAGCCTTGGGTTGAACTCTAAGTCTATAACTGAGCGCTTTGTGGAATCCTACAGAGTGATGTGGACTCTCAACGGTCATAATCTGAGCAGAGTATTTACGGCCAGTCGTGCCCTTGAGGGAAAGCACAAGGTAAAGAAAAATGGCACAACTGTTTATTGACAAGTAAAGATGTCTGATTTACTCTTCACTGTCACTTGCACTGCTCGTTCCTGTCTGATGTAGGTTGGGAAGATCAAGGATGGCGCCCGCTCCATGTCACGCACCATTCAGTCAAATTTCTTTGATGCAGTAAAGCAGGAAGCCATCAAGTTGCTGCTCCTGGGTGACTTCTTCAGTGAGGAATATGCAGACAAAGGCAAGATGCTCATGGACCACACTGCACTGCTGGGTAAGGCCAGTGTAAAGCATAGAATCATAAAATGGTTTGGGTTGGAAGGGACCTCAAAGATCATCCAGTTCCAACCCCCCTGCCATGGGCAAGGACACCCTCCACTACACCAGGTTGCCCAAAGCCTCATCCAACCTGGCCTTGAACACTTCCAGGGATGGGGCAGCCACAGCTTCTCTGGGCAACCTGTGCCAGTGCCTCACCACCCTCAGAGTGAAAAATTTCTTCCTTATATCCAATCTAAATCTGCCCTCTTTCAGTTTAAAGCCATTTTCCTTTGTCCTATCAAAAATCCTTCGCTTTTCTTTTTTTGTGTCTGTTTTTAGCTGTCAAATGTAAGCAATTGCACCCTTTCAAAACAATAAATAAATAGGCAGCTTTTGCACAAATCTATTGTTTAAAACACTGCTTTCAAGTGACCATAGCACAAGTCTGTGTGTTCTAATTCCACTGTGCTTATTTCTCATGTTTTGTTTTGGACTTCTGAGTATGCTTGTTTGCTATTTGATGATGATCTTCTCTGACAATTTAGAGGAGTTGGACCAGAGGGAAAGATTTTAGGGCTGTATTCCCAGTCTGGTCCTGTCTTCAGTTTTTGTTGAGGAAATCTCTTCAGCTCAGTTTTTTTTTTATCTCCTTATTTTTGGCCTACAGTATGCATATACTTTTAGCCATTTGGATCTTTAAAGGCACATTTGTGTTGTTATGTTGGTTCATTCCCTGCTTTACTCCAGGGCCTCGGTAGTCCACAGCATATACATGTTTATTTGCACCCAACTGGAGTGAATGAACTTAGCTTCTCTCTGAGAAGACACTTGTGTGCAAAATGTAGAATAATTGCAGCCATGAGCAGTATCAGTTTGCAGCAGAGAACTACCAGATTTTAACAGGGTAGGAGTGAACTGAGCACCACTTAAATCCTGGGGCTGTTCCCTCATGCGGACCACAAGGAAAATATAGACAGTTTCTCTACGCCTGACTGCCAATGCAAATCAGGTAGTTACAGATTAAGGTTACTGCAGTTGCTCACTCAAAAAAAGCACACTGTGATTTTCTGTATTCATCAAAAATAGAGCAGTTACCTCAGAGGAGTTCTGACCAGGCTGGAGAGCCGCGACAGTGCCGGTTTTGGGCTGAGGTGAGACTCTGCTGCTCTCCACCGTTCCCCAACATGCTAAACTACTTAGGGCTTCAGTCTAGGTCGCAGAATCATAGAATGGTTTGGGTTGGAAGGGACCTCAAAGATCATCTAGTTCCAACCCCCCTGCCATGGGCAGGGACACCCTCCACTACACCAGGTTGCCCAAAGCCTCATCCAACCTGGCCTTGAACACTGCCAGGGATGGGGCAGCCACAGCTTCTCTGGGCAACCTGTGCCAGTGCCTCACCACCCTCACAGTGAAGATTTTCTTCCTTAGATCCAATCTAAATCTCCCCTCTTTCAGTTTAAAGCCATTGCCCCTTGTCCTATCACTACACGCCCTTGGAAAAAGCCCCTCTCCAGCTTTCCTGTAGCCCCCTTTAGGTACTGGAAGGCTGCAATAAGATCCCCCCGGAGCCTTCTCTTCTCCAGGCTGAACAGCCCCAACTCTCTCAGCCTGGCTCCAGAGCAGAGGCGCTCCAGTCCTTGGATCATCTTCGTGGCCTCCTCTGGACCCGCTCCAGCAGCTCCATGTCCTTCTTGTGCTGGGGACCCCAGAGCTGAACACAGTATTCCAGGTGGGATCTCAGGAGAGCAGAGCAGAGGGGCAGAATCCCCTCCCTCGCCCTGCTGCCCACGCTGCTCTGGATGCAGCCCAGGACACAGTTGGCTTTCTGGGCTGCCAGCGCACGGTGCCGGCTCATGTTGAGCTTCTCACCCACCAGCACTCCCAAGTCCTTTTCCTCAGGGCTGCTCTCAATCCATTCTCCACCCAGCCTGTACTTGTGCTTGGGACATAACTTGTCACATAGCCTGTGATGTGCCTGGTCGCTGTAGGCTAAACTGAGACGATTAAGGAAAGAAAAATGAAGAGGTGCAGGAAAACATGTGCTGAAAGTGAGAGGCCAGCTCTTCATGAGCTTTCAAAGGGTGCCTGGTTTCTGGAAGAGAAATTACTGATGTCAAGCCCAGTTATCTTGTAGTTATTACCACTGGAGTTACTCGTTAACTTTTGTGCCGTGGCTGCTAGGTGATGTCATGTGTTCACAGTGACTACGTCACTGCTGTCTGTGTGCTTTCTGTCCTTTTACAACATGTTCTTTTACACGCCCTCTTTCTCTCTCCCTCTCCTGTCAGTAACTCCAAGTATTTTGAAGGCCATGTCCGAGCGTCAGTTTGAATTCACAAGCTTCAAGCGGATTCGTGTTGCCACGGGGACCTGGAACGTGAACGGGGGGAAGCAGTTTCGAAGCAACATCCTCAGTACCAGCGAGCTGACAGACTGGCTGCTGGATTCTCCAAAGCTCTCTGGAGTTTCTGAATTTCAGGGTAAGACTTCACAGTCAAAACGTGCAAGCAACATTTACTGTCGTCTCTAGAGACAGTAAACTGGGACACAAGATTTGACCAGTCGTTCCTTTCGAAGTCAGTGCATCTTGGAGGGCATTTTCTGTCCGTTCTTAGGGCTGTATTCAGCTCCATGTAGACTTGTGCTGCATCCCTGCAGCAGTGGAATGGTGTGTGAAGGACTCCTGACAGTCAGACCCGCTCCTGACTCTATGCTGGGTGACTCTGTTTTGAACCTTCAGCAGGTCTGAGTTTGGAGGTCTCCTTCAGGCTGTCATGGGGTGTATCTGCCTATTCTGCATCTCATATTTAATTTTCTTCTCCCATATCTCTCTTTTTTGTTCTTCATTGTGAGTGGGAACTGCGTGCTTAGGTGCTCTCAGAATGTCTCCTTGCTCTTTTATCTGTAGCTAAATATATCTGTACAATCTGGACTCTGACATTGAAGGCTTTGATAGTAACATTTCCAGACAGGCAAAAAGGTTTATTTTGTTGAAGGCAATTTCCTTTTTTTTTTTTTTTTTTTAGCAGTATAGAAAGCTCTTGTGCTTGTGGCTTGCTTAAATTAGCTGCTGAATTTCTTACTTATAGAACAAGGAGGTCAGGTACTGTAATTGATTTACAGATTTTTACTAAGAAAAAAGAAAAGCGAATGTTCTGTCATGTAAAAATGGAGCGATTGCAAAACTATGGTAAAACCTGTGTTTTCGTTGTTACAGTGGAGCGTTTCACTTCCTGCAGGCATCAGAGTTAGTCCTGTGCCTAACCTTGAAGCTCGGGAATTCATTCCTCAAATCCTTGGCTATTTACACAAGTTGTCTCATTTGAATCCTTAGTGCTTGAGTGCGTGGATATGTGTTTAGGTGCAGACAGCTGTATTCTGAGCAGCTTGGGTGGGCAATTGGTCCAGTCTGTTTTAGAAGCAGTTGAGATGTGCTAGCACAGGACTGTGCCCATGATATAAAATTCGTTGGGAGCTCGTCATGTGCTAGCCTTGCCAGGCCTTCCCCGGAGAGAACTGGAGGAGCAGGACTAAATGGTGAGCAGGAGCAGGACAGGCAGGCATAACGTGATAGGTCTAAGCAGCTTCTGGAAGGGAGCTGAGTTACACGAGCAGGCAGAGCTAGGGTATGACCATGCAAGTGTCTGTGTTCGTGATGATGTCAGTGCAGTGCCTACACAAATGGGCAAGTGCTTCAAGACAAATGTCCAAAATGGGAAATACACATATGACAGTGCCTGTCATGTTCAGCCAGTAAAGGGAACTAGCTGTCGTGTGCCAGTTTCACCTCTGTGTCTAGAGAGCGTTGCTGCACGTTTTACTTTCTGTTCCTATTTTCTGAGACAGGTCTGATTTAGGTTCCTGTGGTTGTCTACTATTTAGGTCTTCATGTTGAGTTAAATTCCTGTTACCTCAGGCATGTGACAGTTTAAAAAAAAAAACAAACCCCTTTAGACAATGGACAGATCTGATGAGTCAACAGATATGCTTCACGTTATTACATGAGAGCATTTCATCTTTGGTGTTTTACCAGGGTAACATCCACAGGCCTGGGCCGAGGAGGGGAGAGTCACTGTGCTCTAGAGTGACCTAACCTAACCTTGAGTGTGGGTGATCTAAGGAGGACTCGGGAGAAAGAAGATAAGAAGAAACTTCAAAGGCTTCCTTAAGCTAGTAGATAAATTTACTAAAGGCATTGAGAGGGAAGGGCCATCCTGGTGTGTGGACAGTAAGTTCAGTTATGTAGGGATCAGTGTCAAAAAAGAAAAGGAAAAGCACGTTGGGTAAAATGACAAGTGGGTGAATGGTGGTGGGTAGCGAGATCTTGTGGCTTTAGTGATGAGTGGGTTGAGGGCGAGAGAACACTGACTATTTTCTCATCTTAGCATTGCTCTGTTGTGAACTGCTTCCTGCAAGAGAGATGGAGACCAACTGGTGGGAGAAAAGCAGGAAGAAATTTCAGAGGAACTGCAGGGGTTGTTTTGTGAGAGTAGATTAAAAGACCTATGAATATGTATAGCTTGGCAGGGGACACACAAGATAGAGCTACAGGAATGATCCCTGACAGAAATCAGAAAACAAGTCATTAGAAGAAACAACAAAATAATAACTCTTGCATGACTTTTCCCTCTTGCCAGCAGATGACGAGAACTGCCCTCCTGACATATTTGCAGTGGGATTTGAAGAGATGGTTGAATTAAGTGCGGGGAATATTGTGAATGCCAGGTAGGTTGAAAAAACCCAACAAAATATCAAAAAAGCCTCAAACCTCAAACTAAAAAAACCCCAAACAAACCAAAGACGACCACTCTCCCCCCAAAAGAAACTAGCCAAACAAAAGCCAGTTGTGCTTCGTGTGGTCAGGTGCATAGAATGCTTCCTTCTAAGTCTGTTGCTTGTGGTCACAGCTGAAAATGAAACTGAAAATGGCAGTGGGATGGTGTTGGAAGTACTGTTTCTCTGAACTTCTGTGTAGTAGAATATACTTTGGTTTCTAAGTCTCTTAAGTCTGTGTGTTGGCAGAGGATTCTGATGGTTAACATTGATTTAACGCTTGTCCTTAAACCTCTGTCTGATGTTGGAAAAATGTACTCAGGGACTACAAACATGATTGGCATTCATTTGGGAATTCCAAAATGAATGAAATGTCTCTGTGGCTAATTGTACTTGTGAAGATTAAGGCTAGAGAAGGAATTAAAGGCAAAACCTGAGCTTGGCTCATCGGCATGTTCAGTAGGCTGTGGTGTATACTGGTCCTTTTGAATCTGAAAGAGGAATACAGATGGAACCCTGAAGATAAGGTTGTTGATCCATCAGGCTGACCGGTTAGTTGTCTGTTTTGGGAATGACAAGTTACAGCAGTGCTTAGCATGGCTGTTGGGCTGGTGGTATATCTGCATGTAGCAGTTGACTTTGGAGGTAAGAAAACACCGGTTCTGCAGAAGTGAAGGTGTATGCACCCACTCACAGACCTTCAGCAAAGAGCGGCCAACAGCTGTGCGTAGCCAGTCATCTCCCAGTCAGAGAAGATCCAGAGAAGATCTCCTCTCACTGTGAGCACAAGAAAACTTACAAGTCACGAGATTGACATGGAGTTTTTGGTTTTATGGTTATGATTAGTGCAATCATCTTCCAGTTACCTCCAGTGAACGGGCGTATCAAACGTCATGTGAGCATGGATCTTTCTAAGCAAAGTAGACCAAACTCCTCTCATGTCCAGAAGCAGGATAACTGTGTTTTTGCACTGTGCCTGGGCTCACTGACGCTGCTAACTCTGGGCTGGCTCACAAGGAGGTATTACCTGTGTCTGCCATGCATCCTCCAGCACTTCAGTTCTGGAGCCAACATGTGTACTGCCTAATGGATGTCTGTAAACCCAAGGCATGGTTAATCTGCTCGTTTTATTGACTGTATCTGGTTTGTTTTGATTCCATTAAATGATTTTATGTTTGTTCCAGTACAACAAATAGAAAAATGTGGGGGGAGCAGCTTCAAAAAGCAATTTCCAGGACTCATCGCTACATTCAGCTGACGTCAGCGCAGCTCGTTGGTGTTTGTCTTTTCATCTTTGTACGACCCTATCATGTCCCCTTCATCAGGTAAACAAACAAACAAACAAACAAACAAAACCCCACAACCTGTGTCTTCAGTAACATCTGCTGTTGGAGTGTGGCCAGAGAGGGTGGGAGTGATTTTTCAGCTTGGTGAGAATTATGCAAACCTGGATTCTGATCCCTGCTTAGTGTGGGAGAGAGACATGTTTCCAGGCAGCGCAGTCTGGAGTCCCTCCTCCTGGGTAGCACAAAGGCCAGACAGCCCCAGTATCTTCCTCCAGTTCCGCCAACCTGGGCATGCTCCAGGTGGGCAGTCAGGGTGCAGCACCTTGTTTGAGTGCTGTCTTTCTGAAAGAGGATTGACCTGAGCCAGTAAGTCCAAGAGTGTTTGGAGCACCAAGTGAAGGCAAGGCCTGCCTCTGCCCGAAGGGCAGGTTTTACTTTCTAATCCTCTCCTTAGTGTTTCCATATGGAAACCAGGCTGATTCCAGACCTGGAAAAAATGGTGGAATGGGAGGTGGGGGAAGGAGAGCTGGTTTTGCCCTCTCACATTTTATAGAATTGAGAGCTGTAGGGGCCCATTAAGTGTTTGCCTCTCCTAGATGGCACAAGAGCCAGAACTATGTGCCTAGCCAGAAGGGTGCAGAGCCATGTGTTCTCAGCTTACGAGCACCAGTGTCCCTGGAGACTGACCAAACTCCTCTTGCTCCTAGAAGATTCTCATTTTTGTTAAAGAGGAAAGATAAGAATACCAAGCCACAGGGATTTCTGCATTAAAATGCCTTTGCCATGGGCAAGGATTATGCAGGCTAAGCGTGCCTGGGTAGGAAATGAGTAATTAGCCCAAACTATCTTTGAGCATCATTCTGTCCTTAAAGTCTAGAGTGATCCAAACAGTGCCCTTTACTCCATGTTTGGGACACTTTGCCACTGCATTTTGTGAATAAAATATCAAAAGCTGCCTCTTTCTTCCCTCTGGTCTCATATCTACTGAGAAGATGAGTGCAGAGCTTGTGCAGGCAGCATCAAGTACTCTAGGCTAGACAGAGTAGTGCAACCCAGGTAACCTTGATGGTCTCACATTGCTGCCTTCCTAGTAATCTTTCTTCAATATAAAAATTTTGTATTTTCAGTACTATGAAGTAATCCAGAAGTGTTTCTGTCAGTTCTTTATTTTTCACCTGGCCTACAAGAAATTTGAGTAATGCTTAAATGCTGGAAATGGAGATCAGAAGCAGAACAGCACGGTGGCTCTGTTGCAGCTGTCAAACTGCTAGGAGTTAGAGAATTAGCCCTTTGAAAATCCATGGAAAAAGGGAAGAGTTTGATTTTCGTGACTGAGTTTCATCATTTAATGCTAACGTCCTGCTACGTGTTACGTGACCATAATCAAACCTAACCTGTATGCTTGTGTAGTTTTTTCCATGTTTAGAAAATGAAAAAAAAAAAGATCAAAAGTGCCAGAAAGCTTCTGTGCTTACAGAGATTGAAGAGATTAGGACAGAAGTTAGAGAATAGAGAAATAAAATGAGAGAATAGAGAAATAAAATGAGAGAATAGCTGAAGCTTGTACAGCAGTGAAAGGACTGATGAAATACAAGCAGTGGAATGTTCAGTGGGTTACCTCGACATGACCTTTGCCATGAATGCAAGTGGGATAAATGGTACCAGTCAGCAATTGGGTAGGCAGGCAGGAGGAAGGGACATCTCCTTAAAGTGGAAGGATTGAACACATGCTTCTTTCAGAGCACTTGAAACCCATCTTTTGATAGAAAACATTGATGGTCTCCTTTTGCCTCCTTGAGGTTCTCTTTTCTGGAGGGTTTTTGCAGTAAGGAAAAGAGAGGAAAATAAAGAGGAGGGAAAAAAGATAGAAAAGATGAGAGGCAGGAAAAAGAGGGGAAAATGAAGAGAAGGGGAAAAAGAGCCTGTAACACCTTGCATCACTGGGATCATGAATCATAGAATCATAGAATGGTTAGGGTTAGAAGGGACCTTAAAGATCATCCAGTTCCAACCCCCCTGCCATGGGCAGGGACACCCTCCACTACACCAGGTTGCCCAAAGCCTCATCCAGCCTGGCCTTGAACGCTTCCACGGATGGGGCATCCACAACTTCTCTGGGCATCCTTTTCCACTGCCTCACCACCCTCAATGTAAAAAATTTCTTCCTTATATCTAATGCTTGACAATAACTCAAATCAAACTTAGTGGTTTTCCCTATGCCCCTTGCTTAAAGCCAGTAATGTTCTAGTCCAGAACTGCTTGACTTCTATCTGGAAATTAAAATTTTCTCATTAGGAAGGACATGCATGGTGCTGTGGTTGGTTACGACAATGATGTCATCATTTACTTCTCTGATCAGACAGGCATGCTTTATTCTCCGAGCAGACTGGCTATCTGGGAGAAATTTTCTCATCCCGTGAGCAGGTGGTCTGCTTTGCCAAGCAAATCATCCTTCTCTAGTAAAGTGTGTGCTAATCGTGACACTGCAGTATGGTGGAATTAACAACACCGAGGACCTAAGTGATTTGTCACCAGTACAGAACTCATTTTAGGATTTGAGTGTAAATAGTTGTATCTAGTAATCACTGGGCTTATTGCATCTGATTTAACAAATTATGGGTTATGACCTGTTGCTCTTTACTTGAGTGAAAAATCTGGCGCCGACTGCGAAGTTGGGTTTCAACACATAGCTGCTAATTAAATTGTTAACTGTCTGAAAAACAGATTCCCATATGTTCAAAAGTGAAAGGAAACACAATAGTAAAATTAGTTATTGTCACTATTTTAAATAAAGTTCATGGTAAACTTCAAAAGTATATTCTGTAGAAATTCCCAATATTTCAGAAATAATGTCTCGCTGGGCTGTTTGGAAGGGACAGGGAGAGAAGGAAAATACTTTTATTTCTATACTATTGTATAGAATACAATTACACTTCATTTGAAATGTAAGTACATGTTCATCATCAAGAAACTAAAAGATGTGCCTAAAAGAAGCAAGTTTTCTGGAGGGGAGAAGCCATGGCATTGTAAACTGGCTTTTCCTTTATGTTGCAGTCGAAGTTAATTGAATGCTTGTCCCTGCAGCCCCTTCTTCTCTTTATTTTTTTTTTTTTTTGTAGGGATGTAGCAATAGACACCGTGAAGACAGGAATGGGAGGAAAAGCTGGAAATAAAGGGGCAGTGAGCATTCGTTTTCAGTTCTACAGTACCAGTTTCTGCTTTATATGCAGTCACTTAACTGCTGGACAGACTCAGGTGAAAGAGAGGAATGAAGATTATAAAGAAATCACACAGAAACTGAGCTTCCCCATGGTAAGTGTGGGTGTATGTATGCTAAAAACATTGGGGATAAAGGCTGTATCTTTACATTATGAATGCTGGTCTCAGGCTGTTTTTGATGACAAGTCATCTCAGTGCCATCGAGAATGGGCATAAAATAAAAAAAAAAAGCATGTTTCACGGAAGACCAGATACCAGCCAATATAGCACTTGCTTTACAAAAGTTCTGTGCCTTTCACAAAATATAGTTGCTGCAGTGCTTGAAAAGTCATAGAATCCCAGAATGGTTTGGGTTGGAAGGGACCTCAAAGATCATCCAGTTCCAACCCCCCTGCCATGGGCAGGGACACCCTCCACTACACCAGGTTGCCCAAAGCCTCATCCAACCTGGCCTTGAACACTGCCAGGGATGGGGCAGCCACAGCTTCTCTGGGCAACCTCGCCTTGAGCATTTTTCAAGTCAATCTTTCAGAACAGTGCAACTTAACTGACAAATCTGTAAGGCCTCATGGATGAGGTCTAGGGACTGACGTTAGAGCTGGAGAGCACCATACTGCTGGGTCTTGCTTGAAACAGTTCGTAAGGGTTCCTGTGCATGCTGTAGCTGCTCTTGCTCAGGTACAATATATCAGTTCTTGGTCACTGATACGGTACTTTTTGTTCCCTTCATTTTGTCCTCATGAACATGTCACTGTGGAGGAGCTGCTGGCTTTTTGCAGTGTGAATAACTTTTTCTCTAAATCGTGTCAAATCAGTCCCCCTGGTGTTTTATTTTGCACTGGTCTCCTCGGGCCAGTAGATAACCCTGCAGCGCTTCTGTGGTTCCCGGATTGGTGGTCGCTTTAATTTCCACAACGCTTGCTTTCTCAGACCTCTCTGGAGAGCTCCTAAACTGGGGAGGAAATGGACCAGTTTGTGTATTCTGGTTAGTCAGCAAAAAGCAGCGTGTAGGTTGCAAAGCATAAAATTCTAACTCGCCGTTGTTTGCAAGGTTTAGAGGCTTGACACGTGCAGCATATCAATCAGCTGTTTAATGTAAGAACCAGTTCTGACAGTCTGGACGTCCTGCATGGAATATCAGTTCCAAATGGCCATAAAGTTGTGCTTAGGGTAGTTTTTCCTTCTAATGCCTCGTTAACTATTTTATATCCTTTGCATTTACAATAGCTAAGTGCACCGTGTGTGTATAATGCATATAAAGAGTGCCCTCTAGTGCTGTGACAGCCACGGCTCTGGAGCATTTCCTTTACAAATCTCTGGGGTTTAGGGATTTACAGCTTAACTGGAAAAAAAAAACCAAACAAACCACAAAACCAACAACAAAAAACTGATTAGAGGATAGGATGTTAAACTTAGAACTGGAATGAATTTTCCTTGACGTTGTATTTCAATACATTTACAAAAGTGTCCTGCACATAAGATCAAATGTGGAGCTTGTTCTTGCTTAGGACCTTTGTTGCTGAGCGTGCCTTGGTACAAGAAGCACATTCTGTGCTATATTTAGAATATGTAAATATAGATGTGTAAAATGTGTTGGGGAAACAAATGCATATTTTTAATATTCATGAGAGCCAAATTGTGAATATGAAGCTGGAGTCCCAGCTTAGACATACCTTCAGGAAACGGGGGTCAGAGTCTGACACTCTTGCTTACAAAATTCAGCTCAGCAGGATGCAAAAGACAGTGGAGGAACCATTCCATTTCAGCACGAGGTGGATTTTAACACGTAGAACGTGGCAAGCAGGTGCACTATTTAGCAGTTCAGAGAGACCGAGTGGTGCGTTTCAGTGCATTTAGAAGGTGTTTCCATGAATGTGATTTGACATTAACAGTGTTGTGTGCCTCTGAACTAGGGGCGAAGCGTGTTCTCACATGACTACGTGTTCTGGTGTGGTGATTTTAACTATCGCATTGATCTGACGTACGAGGAGGTCTTTTATCTTCTCAAACGCCAAGACTGGAAGACACTTTTGGAGTTCGATCAACTACAACAGCAAAAATCCAGTGGAAAAGTAAGGCAGCGTGTCTCATTTTCTTGAATACCTGTGTGTTGACTTGGTCTAATTCCTTGAGAGAGTGAAAACGTTGGGTTTTCAGCCCCTTCTTTGTAGTTCATGAATGTAGTCATTTGTTTAAAAATCAGAATGTTGGTTGTTTGCAAGGGAGTTGATAGGTCACAATGGCACCTATCTCACCTGTAAAATAATCAAAGAGATGGTCTTTCTTTTCATAGATTTTTAAAGACTTTCATGAAGGGACTATTAATTTTGGACCAACATACAAATATGACGTTGGCTCAGAGGCTTACGATACAAGTGATAAGTGCAGAACCCCAGCTTGGACTGACAGAGTGCTTTGGTGGAGAAAGAAACTGCCTTTTGAAAAAACAGGTACGTAGGGTCTTTCCTCCTTCTTTGTCTGAAAGTTGTTTTAGATTTTATCCAGAACCCACGTAAGGGGGGGATTTAATCTAGTGAATTGTGAGGAAGGGGGTTAGTGAGTTCTGGGCTGAGAGCTGTCTTTAGACGTGTCCCATAGGCTGCCTCAAGTTGCGGTGGCTTTACTCAGATGTTCCTTCAGCTTCACTGAAATAACTTGCAGAGATGGAGAGAACCCTTTCTTCTTCAGCGTGTGAAGAAAAGCTCCATGCGACAGATTGAGAAGGTGCCGGCGACTCACTGAGGAACTGAAAACGATGCAGCTGTAGCAGTCTAGAAATGATTCTGTTATTTTTCAACAGAATCGTTAGTCCACATAAAGTTCTTGTGAAATAATGGCTAGATTGTTATAACTGTTGTCCTCAATCGATGTATAAGCACTTTGCTGTAATTTCTTCTGCCTTGGTAATTCGTGGGAACGTTTCTGCTAGTTTCTGCAATTGGGGGGGAGATTTCATTAATTAGTGCTCATAAAGTACTTTGAGATCATGAGTGGCCAGCACAACAGAAAGGCTGTTTTCACTTGTTATTCCAAAGTTCCAATAACAGAATAACAAGTATTTCTTTGCATATCCAGGGACAGTTTCCATAACCGTTGTCTCATACATCTGTCTCCCAATGTTTATAAAATCTGAACAAATTCATATTAAAAGTGTAATTGCTAGAGAAGTGGTTTGGTTTGTGCCCGCAGATGTGATTTTCCACATCCCTGGGAACTACTGCTTGGAATTTGGGTCATACCATAAGAACACTAAGTGTGAAAACTACAAAGCAGAAGTAGGGCAATCAGAAAGTACATGTTAATGGGATACAGAGTTATTAACTCTTATTTAAGGAATGAAAAATAAAGTAAAACGAGGAGCTTAAACCATTGATAGAGATGTAATCTGGGAAAGAAAAACTGTATGAGGCATGGTAAGGAAGTTAAAGGAGCCCTGTCTTGCTGGCTGTTTTCATTTTAGGAGAAAGAAAAGCCTTCAGCGTTTTCCATGCATATTCCTTACTTTGCATGGCAAGGCTTGCCCTCGGGAGGACATCAGTTGATGGAGTACACACAGAATGTAGGACCTGTCTAGCTGGCCTTCAAGAGCCAAAGCAGGTGCCTTTCTTTAGGGCTTGGAGGCTTCCTGCAGCCGGCTCACGTGGGAATATAGCTGACCCCTTGTCTGTTCACCCACCTTCCCAGCACTGCAAAGCTTTTTGTATTAGTTTGCTGCCGGAGTTCCTCTCCTTCACTGCTGGTGGCAAGGCTCTTCTGCCTCTCACCTCCAATTCTTTTACCTTGCTTCTTTTTGCTGCTGTAAGATAGAGGACTGTTTGCCCTTTGAGAATGCAGTGTAGCCCCAGCGCAGGGGATTAGGCAGGAATGGCATATTCCGTATTAACTCATTTTCAGCTCCACAGAAAAGAGTTATCCATTAGCCCAGACAGTGATCTAAACACTGTCCTGATACTGACAGCAGTGTACAGTACCTCACTCTAGCACCACGTCTGGAGCACTTTCTGTCACCCTAATGCATTGCAAAGGAAGCATTTGGAGGTTAGGTTTGCATGGGTTTACGTTCTCCCGTGTCTCGTGTGCTATTTTTCCAACCCCTGTGTGTTATTCAGATTTGCAGTGTATTTACAAGTACAGTGTCTGTTCCCGTGCTCAGCAATGGTGCAGGAGGAAAAATTCTAATATGAGTCTGTCGACCCAGATTGTACATGTAATTGATTGGGTGGCATTCAGGTTAACTGTTTTGCAGATATCTTATTCTAGTGATCAGCTGTCTCTGTTGCACTCCCTGTCCTTTCTGGGTTTTTTTTTTCCTAACTTGTAAATCTTTTAGGATATGAGCTCTTCTTTGAATGGTATATGCAAGAATGAAAAAAACCCCACCTGCCACTACTAGGGTCTGTGAAGTGCAATCTAATGAAATAGCTTTTAACCGTTAGTAAAACTAACTTTGAGTGAGTTTTAAATCATGTTTTGTGCTTCATAGCTGGCGAGATCAATCTTCTAGACAGTGATCTGAATGCTGAAACTAAAGTCAGGCACACCTGGACCCCTGGAGCCTTGATGTACTACGGGAGAGCGGAGCTGCAAGCATCTGACCACAGGTAAAGTCCTAAGCAAATAGTCAGAGAAAGGACTGCTAGGTTAGAATTCAGAGAGGTGGTGGATGCTCCATCCCTGGAGACATTCAAGGCCAGGTTGGATGAGGCCCTGAGCAACCTGATCTAGTTGGAGATATCCCTGTTCCTTGCAGGGGGGTTGGACTAGATGACCTTTGAAGGTCCCTTCCAGCCCTAATCATTCTATGATTCTATGATCCTATGATTCTATGACTGTGTCATACGGAATTACACCTTCAGAGTGAGGGACTGAGTCTGATTTTAACAGGAGTTACACCCTTCTCCTGTGTTCAGTATGTGTTTGGTGGGGTTTTATCCCTCGTGGTGGGTTTCATACCAGGTGGCAGGTATCTGCGGTCCAGTGTTGATTGCCGCTGCACTGTGATCTCAGCAAGGGTTGGAGAAGTTGCAACAGGTGTAGAAAACCGAGGGCTTTTTGTTGCTTGGTTTTGGAAAGCTCCAATACCAAAACAAGCTGCTCTAATGGGCTCCCACTCGGCTTGCTGTGGGAGAGGAGGAGATTGGGAGTCTGTGGCCTGAAGAGATGGAAGCTACGTACATAGGGACAGGTGTGACCTCTTCAGAGCAGTGAAGTGTCAAGCTTCCAGGCTTCCCTTAGAAATGGAGATGGGAGAAGGAGGAGAAAACACAGAGTGGTGCCTCTGGCTGGTCCATATCACTACCTTCTCTTTAGGTACGTGAATGATCTCTCTTTGTTCAACTTGTCACTGTTTCTCTTTTCTGAAATGAATTCTGTACTAAATACACCTTGAAAGCTCCCTTGCATTCAGAACAAGCTTTGTCTCACCCCTCTCATGCCCTGTGGAAATGCTACAATATGGTTCCTCATAGTGACCCACCGTAGCTGGCTCTGTGCTTCTCTTGCACGTGAGGACTGTTCCGTATTCCTCCAGCCATGGAAGAACATGCCTCCTGCAATCAATTTCTCTGTGTCAAGGCTTTGACATTGCTGTGTTCCACAAAGCACAGTGGAACTGCTGCACTCGTTATATAGCACCCTGAGGATGCAATCTGTGAAACAGGGCTGTTGGACATTGGTTTTCTGTTTCAGCAACCTTGACGGCAAAAACTGCTTTTTAATTACAGTCAGCAGGTTTGCTTTCCTAAGGTTTATGCTGGAAAAGGGCTTAGCTCTGTCTTTGTGACATATGGAAGTGCATTATGATTCACAGTGCTTATAGAAATAGTTAACGCTTCCTCTAAGACTTTTTCTGTTTTACTATTCCTTTCTAGCTCTGCTGTTACTGCTTCCGTAGGTTCTGGTGTATTCCAGAGCCTGCTCTATTGCAAGTGGGAGGCAGCAATTTTGACACAGAAGAGCAGCCATCTCAGCTGCTGCTCTGCGTGTACGTGTGGGTGGAAGTCTGAGAATGTGGATTGCATCCACTGAGATGAGACAAGCTTTGCTCTTTCAGACAGCTTTCTCAGTCTTATTTAGATCTGACACACAGAGAGGTGATTTGTAAGAAATGGCTGAAGAAGCAAGTGTGCAGTGTTGACTGCTTATAACGTGATGGATTGACGTATGTCCATCAAGCATGGGCAGCAGGTCGAGGGAGGGGATTCTGCCCCTCTGCTCTCGTGAGACCCCACCTGGAATACTGCATTCAGCTCTGGAGTCCCCAGCACAAGAAGGACATGGAGCTGCTGGAGCGGGGCCAGAGGAGGCCACGGAGATGATCCGAGGGCTGGAGCACCTCTGCTCTGGAGACAGACTGGGAGAGTTGGGGCTGTTCCGCCTGGAGAAGAGAAGGCTCCAGGGGGATCTTATTGCAGCCTTCCAGTACCTAAAGGGGCTACAGGAAAGCTGGAGAGGGACTTTTTCAACGCGTGTGTAGTGACAGGACACGGGGCAATGGCTTTAAACTGAAAGAGGGCAGATTTAGATTGGATCTAAGGAAGAAATTTTTCCCTCTGAGGGCGGTGAGGCACTGGCACAGGGTGCCCAGAGAAGCTGTGGCTGCCCCATCCCTGGCAGTGTTCAAGGCCAGGCTGGATGAGGCTTTGGGCAACCTGGTGTAGTGGAGGGGGGCCCTGCCCATGGCAGGGGGGTTGGAACTGGATGATCTTTGAGGGCCCTTCCAGCCCAAACCATTCTATTCTATGATTCTATGTTTGCTACATAACCACATTATACACTTGGAGTACCTTGTCCTTAGTTTTTGGAAGAAGACATCTTTATGTGGCCTTGTCTGACAGAAAATAATATATCGCCTTCCCGATCTATAGATGTTTTGGGAGACAGCTGTCTGATCATGACTGAGGTATCCTGGTGTTTTTAGACTGCAGCTTTGCCAGAAGTGCTACCCACAATTTGAATTCCTTGGCGATGTGTCCTCACTGTTCCGTTCAGTTAATGCAGGGCTGGTAAATGTATTTAGCAGTGCTCAAGGCATGATCTTCCACTGCAGAAAAAATGAAACCATTTACCAGACTCTGAACTTCTGGGTGTTATTGCCAGCCACAGTGCTTTTTTGCAGTGAGACCTCAAGTAATTTGTTCTGCTTCTCTTTCTGTGTAGAACATAATAATCACTTCCTTCTAAGGTGGAGCAGGCTTAATTAAATATTTGCCGTGAGATTTGACATCGTGGAGTTAAAAATTATCATAGATGTATAGAGTTTAAACAATACACTGTTTGTCCTGCAACAACTGATTTTTTACCCGTCCTGCTGCTCGACATTGATTTTAATTGTATCTAAGTATTTCCTGTTGGGTGATGTTGATCTTAATTTTAAATAAGCATTTCTCCCTTGTTTCCCGTAGGCCAGTGTTAGCTATTGTAGAAGTGGAAGTCCAGGAAGTTAATCAGGCTGCCCGTGAGAGTGTTTTCCAGGAAGTGTCATCTTTCCAGGGACCACTGGATGCCACAGTAGTGGTAAATCTGCTATCACCAACGCCTGAAGAGAAGAATGATTTTCCTGAGGACCTGCGTACGGAACTTATGCAAATCTTTGAGGATTATGGCACTGTTGTTCTGGTCAGGTAAGCTTGGGGTCTGAAATGACATGTCATCTATTCAAAAACACAGACTAGAAATCCCCTTTTTGTCCTGACAGAATTAATTTTGTGTTAGAAAGTAGTATGCTGAATTCTTTTACTGATGTCAAATTTTTCATTAGAAATGGAATATGAGTGTTTTGAATGTCTTTTGCCTCTTATCAACCTGTTAAAGGAAAAAAGCAGAAAGCAGAGGCTTTGATGTGAATCTGTCACCTTCAGATTCAGAACTCATTTCCATACATTGCTTCTGTTAGTGGGTCCTCAGCCCATCTTCGCTTCCTCTGAGGAGATCTGCTCTCTTCACAGAATCCCAGAATGTCAGGGATTGGAAGGGACCCCAAAGGAGCATCTAGTCCAATCCCCCTGCCGGAGCAGGACCACCTAGATCAGATCACACAAGAACGTGTCCAGACGGGTTTGGAACATCTCCAGAGAAGGAGACTGCACAACCTCTCTGGGCAGCCTGTTCCAGTGCTCTGTTCCCCTTACTGGGAAGAAGTTCTTCCTCATGTTTAAGCGGAACCTCCTGTGTTCCAGCTTAGATCCATTTCCCCTTGTCCTGTCATTGGATGCCACTGAGAAGAGCCTGGCTCCATCCTCATGGCAGTCACCCTTTCCATATTTATAAACATGAATGAGGTCCCCGCTCCGTCTCCTCTTCTCCAAGCTAAAGAGACCCAGCTCCCTCAGCCTTTCCTCACAAGGGAGATGCTCCACTCCCTTCATCATCTTTGTGGCCCTGCGCTGGACTCTCTCCAGCAGTTCCTTGTCCTTCTTGCACTGCGAGGCCCAAAACTGGACACAAGATTCCAGATGCAGCCTCACCAGGGCAGAGTAGAGGGGGAGGAGAACCTCTCTCCACCTACTCACCACCCCTTCTAATACACCACAGGGTGCCATTGACCTTCTTGGCCACAAGGGCACATTGCTGGCTCATGGCCATTCTGCTGTCCACCAGGACCCCCAGGTCCCTTTCCCCTTTCCTCTTCCAGCACTCTTTCACACTCACTAGAATTTCTCGGCTGGCTCTCCTTTCTTTTGGGGGTCATTTTGTTTATTTTTTTATTAGTGTGGCTTCTCACCATTCTAGCACCTACTGCGGTGAAGAGGGTCAGTGTGATACCTTCTGGCAGAGCAGTTTAATTTCGTTCTGTTTGACTCCGTACAGGGCTCCAGCATAGCTATGAGACTTCTGTTTGGAGAAATACAGGCAAAACTGGTCAAGACCTGACAACTGACCTGGGAAACAAGACCAGAAACTTGTTTCTGTTGTATTGGATCCATTTATTGGTGGAGAAAACTGATGACTTGTTGTGGGGTTTATGAAGTACCAAATATAAGTCGAGAGTTCAAAAGCAGCCCTGCAGGAACAGCAGCACCATCTTGCTTGTGAAGAAAAGGAGCAAGAAAAGAACGTGCTTTAGTGACTGTGGATATCAGACTTGGTATCCTGTCAGCTGCTGGGATGTTTGTACTACTGCTTCAGGGGTGACCCAGTAAAGGGCAGGGTGCTGGGGTCATGTAAGGGAGGATGAGGGAGAGGAAGATCCCAACTGGGATTCATAGATCGTTTCCTCCTCTCCAAAAAATAGAGTTGTGAGGAAAATACAACAAAAACCAAATACAAGGCTGTACGAAACTGTCATGCTTGGCTTTAAGGCTTTGTGTTCAATGGTGAAGTAAAATGCACTGTTTTCTCTGCCTTTTTTTGTTAGGATCAGTGGAGGTCAAATGCTGGTGACGTTTGCAGACAGCCAGTCAGCTCTTCGTGTTACGGATATAGATGGTATCAAAGTAAGACTCTCAAACCTGTAATAATAATTTCATCATGAATTTCTCACAAGTGGTTCCTTACAATGAGATTGTTATGTTTCCAGCTAAATCACGTAGCATTATTTGAAAGAAACTTAGTGCTCGCAAAGTCCTTAGCCTTCACAGCTGCTGAGGCTTTTAATGGAGTGTTTCAGTTTCAGGAGGGCAGGAGGTGACTTTTCTTGGAGCTCCTAAGCGTGCTTAGGATGTGGCCTTTGGTACCACTACAGAATACATCATCTCGGTCGTTGCTCTGGCACTTGAAGCAGTTCTCCTGAGATTACGTGTGACTTTATACTGTTGCCAAAGCATCCTCACGATTGTGGTTTGGAGATTTTTCTGTTTCTCTTATCGAATAATCTCCTTCTACCAAGCCTGAACAACATGATTCATTGGCCTCCGTGGCAAACTCAGCAGTAGCAGTAGGCGTTTACCTTCCCATCCCCTGCTCTTACTTCCCACACACACGCTGTAATTCATCAGCCCCCTCAGTTCTGCTGACAGAATTGTTTGTGGGGCTGCACTGTAAGCTCAACACTCAAGGAATGGATTTAACTCTCGTTCTTCTTTCACGTTTGGAGTTTTGTGTTTTAATTTGGCTCGTTTCCTTGATGTAATTTATAGCACAGACTAAACCAATTGTTTGTGCACGGTGTATGAAGGTGCTGGGAACCTGGGTCATGAATTCTCCAAACTAATTTTGCTGCCAGAGCTGCTGGCTGGTCACGGAGCAACACGTACGCAGCTATAGTCTTAATCTGTTTAATAATATACTTTCCATGTACATCAACCATCATATTTGGGATTTTCTGAGAAGAAAGTCTCCTTACAGATGGCAGCAGGTAGCAAACTCGTGTGTGTTGGAAGCTACTGACTCAAAAATGGAACCCTCCCACACCGTTATTACTATCACAGTAGTGTTTTGACGATATTTGATATTTCACCCATTTCTCAAGCATTTCTGAAACGCAGTGCTTTTGAGTCATGAAGCTAACTTTCTCTCAAGAATGTTGTTAAAGTCTGAAAACTTGTTTATGGGACTAGGAAGAGTGCTTCCTTTTTTATTTAGCTTCCGAAATGAGGCTTTAGTTGTCTCAGTTTCTGAAGCAGTTGTACAATAGACTGGCAGCACTTGCTTATTCTGTTTAAGTGTTCTCATTTTGTGGAGTTGCTCGACAAAAGGGAAACAGTTCTTTCTTTGTCTTAGGTCAGAGGCAGAACAGTGAAAATCCGGCCCAAGACCAAGGACTGGCTAAAGGGCTTTCAGGAGGAAATTGCTCGAAAACGGGACAGCATTGCCCCCATGTCCCCCACGGCAAACTCCTGTCTCCTGGAAGAAAATTTTGACTTCTCAAGTTTGGACTATGACTCAGAAGGTGAGCACCAGGTTTCTAAGCTAAGTGGTGAGAAATTGCTTTGCTGGCTTTGGTTGCCCAGAGAAGGTACAGTATGAGTGTCAGGGATATCTTAATTTGTAATGAAACTGCACCTCTTAAGAAGAGGATTGTAACTAGTGCCATGACCCAGCACTGTGCCTGGGCAGAGAACTGTTGCTTAGATGATCCTGTCAATTTAGTATTATAATATATGTTAGCAAATCCAGTGTATGGTACAGTTGTCTGTACAGAAACAAACTGAAACACACAGGTTACACAAGAAGCTTGTCCAACCCGTTTATTAAATTAATTGATTGGTAGTAGAGACAGAGGACACATTTGCTTACTAAGTCTTTGTTATCTGATATTTTAATTCAGGTGATATAGTGGAGGATGAAGACGATTATTTAGATGATGCTTTGTGTCAAGACCTAGTAGCAGAAACATCAGAAGATGTGTCTGAGGGCTGTGGACATTTTGCCTCCGTAGATCATTCGGACAAACCTGGACAAACCCCACAGCTGTATAAAGGTAAATTATCTACGTTCCTTAAAGTTACACCTGAAGGTTTGTTGTTCGTCCTCCTCTTGTTTGTATTTCCCTGTTTGTTTATATTTTCATTGTAGGTCCTCCAAAGATAAGGATCATCTTCTTGATACGTGTTCATACAGTGCCCAACCTCCCCTTGAGTTAGTGACTGTAACTGAGGCCTTCAGGCATAACAGCAGCACAAAAAATAAGGCTTAGATCCTCTTTCTCTCCAGCCTCGGGCAAGGCAGGAGTTCTGAGAAATGCCGACTGCCTTTCATAGTCAGGAGAAATTTAAGTCTTTTTATCCATTTGATGTTGTTTGGCACCAGAGCATACAACAAAAAAAACGTCCATTATTTTCTTGTTGGTGAGGGCCAGAGCAAAATCAAACCAAAGGAGTCCTGTTGAGTCTGTGATGGGCTTGGCCCTGCTCTTTGAGCAATAGCTGTGGCAGTGCAGTCAGGTGTAAGCTGGAGGGTCCAGGAGGCTGTTGTGTTCAAATGACTTACTTCAAAGAAGCCTAAAGTTTCTCCTTTGTTCCTCTTTTACTTATTTCTGAAGAATTTGAGGTTCACACAACAGGTATATTAATTCTTTTAGTGCTTCCTGAATGCGTTAACTGTTTTTCCTGATCACCTGCATTAATGTTTGCACATTATTGTGAAATTACGTGGTAAAGAGGAGATAAAGCTGTGAAGAGAACATGGATAAAAACTGCGGGAAGAACTAGCCAGACCAGTGGTGGTCTTATACTGGGATGTGATCAGGAGATACTGTGGTGACCGAGGATTGACAGGCTGGGCTGTGTGTCAGACACTTCATCATGGCTGAGAGTTGGGGCTGCTCAGCCTGGAGAAGAGAAGGCTCCGGGGTGATCTTATTGCAGCCTTCCAGTACCTAAAGGGGCTACAGGAAAGCTGGAGAGGGGCTTTTTACAAGGGTGTGTAGTGATAGGACAAGGGGCAATGGCTTTAAACTGAAAGAGGGGAGATTTAGATTGGATATAAGGAAGAAATTTTTCACTGTGAGGATGGTGAGGCACTGGCACAGGTTGCCCAGAGAAGCTGTGGCTGGCCCATCCCTAGAAGTGTTGAAGGCCAGGGTGGGTGG